AAACAGGAGAAATTATTTAGGAGATTGGAATGAGCAAGAATTTTTTGGACAAAATTCTCAAAACACAGGAAACTGAAGTAAAAATAGCCAAATAGAATTACATAAAACTAAAAAGCTTCTGCACAGTAATGGAAGCACTCAACAGAGTACAGAAGCAATTTACAGAATGGGAGAAAATATTCACAATATATACATTTGACAAGAGGTTGATATCCAGAATATATAAGGAACTCTAAAAACGCAATAACAAAAAAGCTATTAAAATGGGCAATAAATCAAAGTAGATATTTATCAAAAGATAAATATATTTATCAAAGATATTTATCAAACAAAGATATTTATCAAACAAATGGCCAACAGGCACATGAAAAAATGTTCAACTTCTCTAATTATCAGAGAAATACAAATCAAAACTACAATGAGATCTCACCTCACCCCAGTAAGAATAACAAGTACCCAAATGTCTAAAGAAAACAAGTGCTGGTGAGGACATAGAGAAAAGGGAACCCTTGTATATGGTTGGTAGGAATGTACATTAGTGTAGCCATTATGGAAAACAATATGGAAGTTCCTAAAAAATTGAAAATAGAACTACTATATGATCAAGCAATCCCACTACTAGTATCCATTCATAGAAATTAAAATCACCTCAAAAATTAAAGATAGAGGCTGGGGATGTAGCTAAGTGGTAGAGTACTTGCCTAGCATGTGCAAGGCCCTGGGTTCCAACCCTAGTACCAAAAAAATAATTAATAATAGAACTACTATATGATCCTGCAATCCCACTACTGGCATTTATCCATAGGAAATAATATCAGTTTGCTGAAGAGACATCTGCACTCCCATGTTCACTGTAGCACTAGTCACAACAGTGATTAAATAGAAACAACCCCTCATGAATGGATAAAGAAAATGTACATATACATATATACTATTCAGCCATAAAAATAATAAAATCTTGTCATTTCTGACAACATGAATGGAACTGAAGATCATTATGTTTAGTGAAATATGTTAGACACAGAAAGATAAGTGTTATATGATCTTACTCATATGTAGAATCTAAAAAGGTTGATCTCACAGAAGTTAAGGGTAGAATGGTGGTTACTATCCCAGCTGGGACAGTGTAGGGGAATGGAAAAAGTTTGATCAATGAGCACTAAGCTATAATTAGACAGGAGCAAGAAACTCTAAAAGTACTACACTGCACAGGGTAGAAGAAAGGATTGTGAAAGCTTTCAACACAAAGAATGATAAATATTTGAGGAGACAGATAGGTTCAATTGGATATAAACATCACACAATGTTATACATGTATTGAACATCACATTGTACCCCAATAATATGTACAAGTTTAATGTTTTTTGTGTGTGTCTATCAGTTAAATATTGGGCTGGGGGTGTAGTTCAATAGAAAAGTGCTTGGCTAGCATGTCTGAGGCACTAGGTTTGATCACCAGCACTGTAAATAAATAAAATATATTTTTAAAACTATACATATCCCTCTATTGGAATTATAGGCTTCCTTCCAATGAACACCAAATGTGAGGACAGGTAAAACTTCTGGCAAGATTTATCAACAGAAAAAAAAACCACAAATAGTGTAAGAACAAAAAAAGAGATGATATAAGAGCAGATTAACAGATACAAATATAAGAACTTTACACAAATAAGTTAGAAAACTAATGTGAAATACAGAAATTCCTAGAAAACCATAACTTAACAAGTATAACTTAAGTAGAAATAGCAAACTGAAATGATTCCCTATTAAAGTAATTGTATCTGTTAAAATTTTAAAGAAGATGCCAGGCCCAGATTGGTTTACCTGGAAGTTCTGCCAAATATTTGAGGAACAGATAGTTCCTTGGACAAACTGTCAGGGAATGGAATGAAAGAAAATAGTTCTCACCCCATTGCATGAGGTTAGTATAACCTTGACACCAAAATCAGACAGAACAACATGAGAATGGAAAAATTGCAGGCCAGTCTCCTCCCTGAACAAAATTTTATTGAACTGACTAAAAGTTTTTTATTTATCCCAGGACTGTAAGATTAGTTTAACATAAGAAAAATTCTAATGCAATGAACCATATTAACAGGTTAACATAGAAAATCATCATGTCATCTCAGAAGATCCAGAAAACATGTTAATAAAATTCATCATCCACTCATCTTTTAAAAACTATACTGGCAAACTAGGAATAAATGGGAAATTCCTTAACATGTTAAATGATATCTACCAAAAAAATTCAAATTTGCTCAGTGGTGAAACTTTAAAAGCACTCCCATTAAAATCAGGATCAACATAAGAACTTGCAGTATTAACACTTCTTTTTTTTAACCTCTGAACATGTTTATGCAGTATTAACATTTCTATTCAAAACTGTACTATGCATTGTTGGATGTGGAAGGTCTTGGCAGTGTAGAAATACAAGAAAAAGAGATTTTTTTAAAAAAAAAAGGATTAGAGGGGGGAGATGAAAACTGACACATACAAATTACTAAAACTCATAAAAAATTGTAGCAAGTTTGCTAGTTATGAATTTGGTATATAAGAAAAAAATTAAATTTATGTACATTAGTATCAACCTGCCATAAAATTAATTTCTAAAAAGGTATTTTTACCATCGCAACAAAAATCAGCAAGAACATAAACTTGAATGATATGCAAGTCCACTGTAGATTAAATTATAAAATGTCACTTAAATAACATAAAAAAGACTAACTACATAGAAAGACATACTATGTTTAGAAATGCCTAAACAAAGATGTTAACTCTCAAATTTATTTACAGATTGAATGTAATTACAATCAAATTCCTAAAAGTTTTGTCTGTGTGTGTAGCTTGAAAATCTGATTCCAAAATATATGGGGAAGAGCAACAGGCCAAGAATAGCTAAGACACTCTGTAAGAAGGACAAGATGGAGGACCTTGCTCTAACAGGATGTACAAGAATGTCCATTGCACTATTGTTCATAACCCCAAACTAAAAACTACCTAAATGCTCATCAACAGTAAGATGGATAAACTGCAGGATATTTACAAAATGTAATTGTACACAGCAAGGTGAATAAACAAGCTGCAAAACCCATTACATAGGTGGCTCACATAAACATATGTTGGATGAGAAAATAACACACAATTTTTCAAACCCTTTACACATGCTGATGCAATCAATACTCAGAACATCATTAAGTGATTGCATGTCTTCTAGAGAGAATGCTCCAAGCATTCCTTTCTGACTCTGACTTTTCTGGGGTCAAATAGCCTGGCCTCCCCAGAATCAGAAGTGAGACAGACACTGCTTGGGACAGGACTTGGCAACCATCATCCAAATTTTTTGGCATTTGTGGTCTGGTAAAATTCAGTCAATCATTAAAGAGTAAATGTGTTGTATACACAGAGCTTCATAGCTGATTATGGTGAATGGCAGAGTGGAAGTAGCAGTGATTATTTACTGGGTATCTGCTATGTGCCAGGTTCAGGGCTTGATGCTGGGGATATAGTGGTTAATAATAACCATATAACCAAATTCTTATTTAAATAATAACATTATATTGATTGCATACTAAGTGCTGAACACTTCTAAGCACATTACATGCTTTCATTTATCCAATTTTACAACAATACTATTAGTAACTTAATTTTATAAGTCAGGAAATAGGAGCACAGACAGGTTGAGATTTAGCCAAAGTCACAGAGGGAAGAAGTGGAAAAAATGGGAGTGAAACCTGGCCAATCTTGTATCCGAAACCTCTGAATCAGTAAATCATCCCAGCAACACTAAGAGGTAGGTATTAGTTCTGTGTTATAGCTGAGGAAAGTGAGACTCAGAACTAAAGTGAGCACATATTGATTTTGTATCTTCTATAGGACAGAGACTATATCAGGTGATGAATGTATATTATCACTCCAACCTGAAAGACAAGAGTCCCCAGGAATATAGTTGGAATGAAGTTCTGTCTCATCCAGGCTCCTAGATCTCCAGATGAGTAAGTGAAATTGCTGATTTAGCTGGTTTGTTCTTCCTTATTCCTCCATCCATACCTTACATCCTACACACTATATTTAATGCACATTATCTTCCTGGACCCTCTAAGCAACTACTGCTCCCCCAATAACCCAGAGCCTAGAATGCCTCTAGCATTGGGAATGTGGAAGCCTGCTCATCTGGTCCTTGAGATGTCTGGGTCTCACAGTCCACAGCTGCCTTATCTTCACCCACCTTCTGGCTCCTTAGGCCATAATACTTGCGATGAAAACACCTTATCTATAAGAAAACGGTATACCACAGTTTAAAAAGTTTATTTACAGGTTTTGTTTGCTTCTCCTTTGTCCATGCTCCTTCTTAAAATTTCAAAGTAAACACACTGCATCAGTAGGCTTGTCCTGAGAGACTGCATATGTTTTCCCTCAAACGGAGTAGGGAGAGGGTCTATATGTGCCAAGAAGGCAATATGAGAGTGAGACACTCAGCCTTTCTCAGCCCAGTCAGGTATAGATTTCTTAGAAGAGGCCTGTGAAAGGGGAGGAGTGATGCTGGCCAATGAGAGGGTATGATTGTGTATCCAGCACCTGTCCTATGGGAAATGATGCCAGGAACCATCACCTTATTTCACCTGGGCATAATCAAACAAGACCAATTTCCAGACACATCACAGAACAAACCAAAATGAACTATTCCAGAATAGCACTGAAAAGTCCCAAACTAGAAACCTCAAATTCCAAACATGAAACATTACAAATAAGCTTTACATACAAAAGGAGAAGTTTCTAGTCAAAGATCCCTGTGATCAAGATGGTCTTTATCTAATCCTTATTCTTCTCTCTTTCCTCACCTCTCCTGACATTGGCTGCTTGTTATCCTACAGTTATTTCATTCAGCTGTTCATCCATTCCAACGTTCAGGTTAAGGTGTGAGTGGATGTCAGGCATCCTTTGCTCTTCTATACCCACTCTATTGCCACCACATTGAGCCCACAGAAGTAAACCCCACTTACAGCCCCTTCGCCGTTGCAGCCTGCTGCTGCCACTGCTGTGTGGAATCCAGATCTTCTGCAACCTGGTTTGGGTGAGCTCTCCCATCTCTCGAGACATCTTAGATGTCACAGTTAATGACACCACTGCTCACAAGGTATCAAGCCTCACTTTCTATCTTCCTAGTTGTCTTTTCTGTGATGTTGTCACAGCAGCAGATGGACAGGGCTGGAATGAAGGCACACTGGGCTTTTGAGCCTCTCACCACCTGTCTCCAGGCCCTCTTCTTTATCCTAGCCTGCCTCTGCTCCTGTGTATACCAGGGGGGGCTTGGGTGCTGAGAGCTAGAGGTTGGGCAGAAGTCAGCAGAGGCTTCTGAACTCCAAGGGCTGTGTACATAGGAGATAAGTTGGGAGTCCAGCAAGGAAGGCAGCCAGCAAGACAGCCCAGGTCTGGCCAGTCACTTCCCGCCAACGAAGTCAGGACTAGTAGAGTATGCAAATAAAAGACCAAAGATCATGTGCTTGCATCCTGTGTGAAATAGCAAAGCAAAGATGATGGAGGTAGAGGTATTAGCTTTGAAATTAAAAAATTGGTCTGAAGTAAAATGTCAAGCTCCAACTCAAAAACAAAGATCCACATCAGAAATTCAAGGCCCCAAAGAACAAAAGCACAAACACCAAGTCTCAAATGAAAAAGGCAAACTGGAAGTGGAATATTCACTACCTCACAGGTCACCCCACCCAAAATGGCATCTCAACCCTTGTCTTCGCCTAAATACTGTTGGATTCCCTGTCACAGAGCCTTTTCCTCCTAAAATATGATGCCTATGACACTCTTGGAGAGATGGGCACTATCTGATCATTTTTATACTCTCCCTAGCCAAGGCTAAACAAATCACAGTAAAACTGACACCTCAAGAAGAGAAGTGAGTACAGCCATTGCTGAAGGGAGACATGGTAAGCACTGCTCACATGGCTGACAGCTGCCATGAGATGCCCTAGGGATAAAGACATTATTATCTGCTCAACAACCTGGCTAAAGTTTTTCATGTAAGTCAAGGCTTTGGAGGGTAGAGGCTGCAGTAGGGTGAGCATGGGTAGAAAAAAGCAATGTCCTCTAAATAGAACAAATTCATAGGCCAGAACCATCACATCCAAATTTCTTCCCTTCACAGGGCCTGCTTTCCCTGTTTCCCCTTGGTTATTTTGAGACTTTTATCTGTAGAACTCATGTAACTGCACAGCCTACCTGGAATATGTCCAAGCATGCTCTTACTTCATTCTTTTGCAACCTTCCCACCCCCTGATGAACCTCCAGTGATTGGCTATTAGGAAGTTCAACTTTCTTCTACTGAGCTGGGCTACACAAGAGCAACCACTTGGGGGTTGAAATCTCCAATCTCTGCCCTCAAATGCTCCCCAGCTCCACTTTGCCTTTTAAGAAGTTCCCTAAAATACATTCTCAGAGCCTTAGTCTACACAAGGGTTAGATTTCCTCCAGCTGCCGTGTATAAATCATACCAGAATTTCAACATCAGGGCCCACATATCTAAATGAATCTACAGTGGATAACAGTGATTAAGAGCAATGGGCTCTACAGCCACATTACCTGAGTGGATTCTTACTTCTGCCTATGAGACACTGAACAGATAAATGTTTCAGTGTCTCAGTTTTTTTTTTCCATCTGGAATATGGGAATGATAAGAGTAACTAGTCCCTTAGGGTTATTGAAGATTTAATACACTAATATGTGTAAGGCATCTGGAAAATGCTCAATAATACTGTTATTGCCTTTATGAAGTAAATGATTAATCACTTAGACTAATCTGTGACTTTTATTAGTAAAGGAAACTTACAATATTATGGAAATGAGTTAACATTTATGATATAAAGAGCTCCTGAGAATCAAATAGAAAGATGATTTCATTTATACCTTTTTGGTTTTATGTAAAGACTTATGTTAAAGTTGAGATGCCACATATAGATCATTTCATCTCATCTTCTCAGGTGAAAACAAACAAACTGAGGTCTAGAGAAGGAAAATGGTTTTCTAAGATCACATAGAAAATCAATGGCCAAGGGGTTGGGATTGTGGCTCAGCAGTAGAGTGCTCATCTAGTTGGTGCAGGCACAGGGTTCAATCCTCAGCACCACATAAAAATAAATAAATAAAATAAAGATATTGTGTTCAACTATAACTAAAAAAATTTTTTAAAAAAGAAAGAGAATCAGTCATCAAGTCATGAGTAGAACAGTGGGAACCTAAGTTCTCCCACTCCAGGGATTTTCTTTGGTTAATTGATCAAGCTAGCTTGATTTAAGAATGTGGTATTTTGCATGATGTTAAGTGAACTACATCAGGCATGGAAAAACAAATACAGCATGTTCTCACCTATATGCAGAAACTAAAAAGTTGATCTCAAAAAGTTGAGAGTAGAACACTGATTACCAGAGCCTAAGAAGGGGAGTGGGATAGAGAGAGATTGGTTAAAAGGTACAGGATGCAGTTGGATAGGATGAATAACTTCTAATGTTCTATAGCACACTGTTGTCTATGGTTGACAACAATTAATTGTGCATGTCAAAATAGGTAGTAGAAAGGATTTTGAATGTTCCTAACACAAAGAAATGATAAATTTTTGTGGTGATAGATATGCCAATTATCCTGATCTTAGAATTGCACATTGTATACATGTATTGAAATATCATTATACTCCATAAATATGTACAATTATGTGTCAATAAAAATTAGACATTTTAAAAATGTAGCCTTACAGATTAGATTAGAATTTGTAGAGTCTCAGAGACAGACTTTGGAAGAGATACAACTCTCCTAATCCTAATAATTACCAATTAATTACTAATTGGTAAAACTCTGTTAATGCTAAAAACTAATAATAACTCTTTTGCATATGTATTCAATTGCCCATGAGACAATAACATATCCTTTATCCTATTTATTCCTTACACACATCCTGATTCACATGACAAGGAAACTAAAATCTAGGGAGGTGAAGTGGACTGTCCAAGGTAATCTAGTCAGTCACATGAATATGTTTTTTATGTTTACAATTCTGTCCTTATGAACCTGCCAAGAGGCAGGAAGATAATTTTAGTAGCAGGAAATCTGAGATGGGTGGCTAGTGGATTTTTGACAAGGTCTGAAAGGATAAACTTGGGGTCTAGGCTTGAAAACTCAAATTTAATATTATCTGAAACTAACTATAAGACTTTTTACCATTATTACCAATTCTGACTCCAGAAGGAGAAATAAACAAGCTTTATGGAAAATCCTCAGCTGGACCTTAAAACCTCTTCTAATTTAAGCACCAACCTACCTATCTAACCATATTTCCCTTAAACATCCACATTTAAATTTCATTGACTGACACACTGGGACCCAAAATATACCATGTACTTTCCTATTTCTGGGCTTTTCCCCTTATCTCTGGGTATCCTGGAATACCTTCCTTCCATTCCATTCTTAATGAAATCCAACTCACTCTTCAAGGTTTGATTCAACATTCATCTCCTTTGGGAAGTTGACTCTGGATCCTTGGGAGAGGTTTTGTCTTTAGTTCTCATATTGCCCATGTGTCTCCATCTATCTGAGCAATTATCCCCACTGTTTTCTTCATCTGCTTTCATGCTGGACTGTGGGATCCATGAAGATGGGAACTGAACCCTGGTGATATATTTCCAGTGTCCAGCTCAGGCCCTAGCACAGAGGAAACATTTGCTCAATGAATATTGGTACAGTCTACATTTTTCTGCCCTAGATGAGATACACATCTGTAAGTGTTAAAACAAAGAGCTGTGTAGGGTAATGGATGGGAGAACTGACTTGTTAAAAGGTAGAATGTGGCATCTAGAAATGTCTCTCAACCTCGAATGGTGCAGAACAGAATAAACAAAAGAATAAAGCCCCATCTGAGAGGGTCTAATGAATTGGTTGCAGGGATAGGGTTTAATCAGTATCAGATTCTTACTCAAAACTGAGTGCTCAGCCATAAAGTCCAAATGTAGCTATCTTTAGGGAAGAAAATATACAATGTGATTTCCAGAGATCCACAGACCCTGACACCCCTCTGCCAAGTACTGAGTTAGGAAGGAATCCTACTTAAAGTAGCAAGAAAGTACTGATGGGCAATAAAATCACAATTGATAATTATTGGAATGTGTGTATGGATGAATTTGTGGGAGACTAGAAGTCTGAGGGGGAGGTTAGCCACATACTTGCAGGTTAGATGTGTATGTATGAATACATATCAGGCCTTCTGTGGCAGTAGCCTATGATCCACTTCCTTTGCAGACTCTGCCCTGGCCACCATCCCCCTATTTTCAGCCCCATGCTTGGGACCCAAAGCTCACTGCATCCTAGTCCTAGGAGTAACTCTCCATACACTATAGTCACTGAGGGAGAAAAGCAGTTAGAGATTTGTGGGTTGTATTGCCTGTAGATGCTATATAAAAAGCATGATAACTAATTTCACACAGAGTACGAAAATCCTAAAATGTTTCCAAAGAGCTTTGGATCATGTCCTTTTGCCCCTCTTGATCTTCAGGCAACCTTCTAAGGGAAGTAGGCTAAAGACTTTAATTTCCATTTTATTGATGAGCTATTGACACCTGGAGAAACTAGAAAGTTTGTTCAAATTGTCACAGCAAATCAACCCTACTTTATATACTATAGGAGAGGGAAGAGATATCTCTATCACACATTTCATTCAAAACTGTACTAGACTAAGTTGGAGATACTTCTAATGGTGCTAGGGAATTGCCCTTTAGGTCGCTGTCCTACAAATTCAGGTAAAAGTAGATTAAAAATACAGATAGTTTAGATATAGAAATCGTTTTTTCCCAACTCTCTCATACCATTTAATGCATACCTCAAACAAACACCTTGCAAACAAAACTTTCCATTGAGCCCAAAGAATGGATTTAGATTTGTGTAACTCCTCTCTACTTTTCCTTCTCACCTACCTGTTCTCTTAGAGGTTTTTTCTTCCATCCTTAATAATCCAACACTCAGTTCTCTTGCATTTACAGACCCCCCAAAGCAGGTCCAGTGGGTGGCATCAAAGAGGAAACCTGGAGATGTTCGTCGGTTCCTGGGAAGGCTGAGGAAGCACCCTTGTTAAGGGGTGTAGTGTACACTCTGTTGAAATATCAGCTGTTGTAGTGCCAAAGGAGTTCCTGAGCCTTTTCTCTTCAGTCCAACCATGTGTTCACCTTGCCCGAAAGGTCAGAACTAATATTAACAAGCCACGACAGAATGGGGAAATTAAAACCAGCTATTGAGACAAGCAAGATCTGGCTTTCCTTGGGGCTGAGTTTCAGATCAGTCTTGAGTGTAAATGGGCACAATTCCTTACTGGAAAGAAATTTAGCAATATGAAGCAAGAGCAATAAAAATGTTCATTTCCTTTGTCCTAGTTATCCCACTCCTGGGACTCAATACTAAATCAGCAAATCCCAAAGCATGAAAAAGCTCAAGATGCGCACGCGTATGCACAAACACAACACACATACTCACACACATTTTAATTACAGAGCTCTTTTCTGATGGCAACAAGTAGTAGGTAAACTTTAAGTCCTCTGGGAGGAAAAGCAGTTTGCTAGGTCTTTTTTTTTGCAGCCACAGAAGATGATGTCTTTAAGACTGTAAAATTCTGTGGAAAAAATAACTATGTTGCAATTCTGGATAAGAAACCTAAAAAATACAATGTTATATTTCCCCCTGGATATTAAGCATGTGTATCACTTCTGTTTTTGTGCTCTCAAAAAAAAAAATGAACCTGTTGCTGTTGCCCTTTGTTCATTCGTCTAACAAATATTCAATCCCCTCTAAGATATACTGTGTCCAGTAATAGGAAATGGAGCTAACAAGATGACTCATACATATGTCATTGCTCTAGAGTTGCTGGCAGTCTAATGGCAACAGAAATAGAAATCAATGATAGCTGCTGATTGGGATAAATGCTGTGACAGCATGAACATAGAGTGCTGTGGGGACCCAGGGGAAGACTTCGGTGATAGGTGTGTAGTCCATAAAATCTTACTTAGAAAAGTAATTCTTGACCTGATTAAGGAAGAGGTTGAATCCTGGCTCTATCACTTCTGTGAGACTGAAGTGAATTCACTCAACTTCTACATCCCTTCCAAGGTTTACCCGGGAATGAAAGAGATGATGTATACAGGACAAACACAGCTGCATCAGGGGACAGAGACAGTGCTGCTTCGGAGCTTAAATGTTCTGGGCCTCAATTAATTTTCATCTGACAAATGGAGCCAAGAGCAAGTACACGTCTGGCCACATTCTTCTAGACTCTCTGAGACACAAGACAAATTAGGCACAGGGCGGATTTGAGACAGTCTCCCCCTGCCTTCTGCCTCAATAATGCCAGAGGTCATCCTACTAAAATATTTTCTCAGTAGAGAAGCTCTTAGCGCTCTCTCCTCCAACCGTGAAGTTCCCTTCATCCCTGGAGCGTGCAAACACAGGGCGTCTGCAACTCCCAGGGCGCAAGTGCCAAAGCCAAAAGGGCTCTTAGGTGGGCTATCTGCTGTGCTGGGGGTGGGGCTTAGGCCAGTGAGCGGGTCCAAGGAGTTTCCCGCCTAAAAAGTGGCGACATCCCATTCTTAAGTAACCGGAAGCACCAAGGGAACTTTTGAATAAAGGAGAAACACAGTCAGACGCAAACGTCCGGGGCCAGGGCGCGGCCAGAGGAGTTAGGAACCCAAACGCGGACCTGCTTTCCGCCATTCATTCTTTCTTAGCGTTCGTTCGCCCCGCCCCTTCGCTGTGCGCGTAGTTACGTCTCTGGCCAATGAGAACTGCGGGACTCAAAGCCCCGCCAGACGTGCGGCAAGTTCTTCCGTGGCACGGACAGGAACGCCTGCGCAAACGCACGCGCAAACGCGCGGTCTAACCGACTTCCGAGCGCCAAGCAGTTTGCCCGCTCCTTAGACGCGGGATGTGGCGGAGGTATTGCAGTTTACTAGGATGTTGCGCATTGTGAGCTGGAACATAAATGGAATCCGAAGTCCCCTGCAAGGGGTGGTGTGCCAGGAAACCAGCAACAGTACCTCCATGGCCATGAGACGCATTTTGGATGAACTGGATGCTGATATTGTCTGTCTCCAGGAGACCAAAGTGACTAGTGAGCACTCAATAATCCAAAATCCTTACCATATTCTTATTTTCCCGCTAACTTTTGTCCTCTGTTCTATCTCATTTCACTCTCCCACTTCCCCGTACTTAGAGTCCTTTAAACCCAGCTCAGAATCTTTTTCCCTTCTAACCACCGTTGTCTATCCCAGCTAGATCCCCTAATTCCCACTCCCATCTCCTGTCCTCTACGGGACTTTAATTGCCTCGCCTGTGAAATCCCCAAATCCACTCAGATTCCCACTAATTCTACTGCCCCAACTCAGCCCTTTGAATTCCCCCTCCTATGCACTGTCCATCTCTAACCCCCAAGGCAGACCCCTCAGTTCTCTGTCCCTCTCTAATTCCCACCCCATCTTTGCCTCTTGTTCATACTTTATAATTTTCTCCACCACAGACCTCCAGTTCCCTTTATTTACTCCAACCCTCATCTCCACCTCATTTCCCACCCCAAGTTTAGACCTAATTTCCTTTCCCCCACTCCCTCAGGATCCCTAATTTCTTCTTTCATCATCACCATTTCAGATCTGCTATTTTCCTATCTTCCTACACCGCAGTTCAGATTCCCATTTTCCTTTTCCATGTTCCCATTTCCCACTCCTAGCTCCTTTCCATCATTTAGACCCCTAGGCTTAGTTTTGATTCACTCCCCACTCATTAATTCTCCACCTTCTACTTCATGGGCTGTCCCCACTTCCCTACCTTCTGATATTGATATAATTCCCTCTCTGACTCTTCTACCTTTCTAGATTCTTTGATCATAGATACTTCATTTTTCCTTCAAACGCTGGTTCTGATGTGTGCCAATACTATTAGCCTACAACTGTAATTTCAGGCCTTTTTGTGTTCTGGGTCCTAGTTTTACCTTTGACTTAATGTTATACTTTTTTTCAGGGGATGTGCTGACAGAGCCCCTGGCTATCGTTGAGGGCTATAACTCCTATTTCAGCTTCAGCCGCAGCCGAAGTGGCTATTCTGGTAAATTGGGTTTGGGGGGATTTTAAATTAGTGTTAGTGATAGAGGCAGGTAAGAAGAAAGGGTTTCTAATATTTGTTGAGAAGGTAATAAGAAATTTAGATTTTTAGTCCAAAGAGCTAAAGCCCCATAAAATTTAAGTTACGTGAAGTGTATTTTTATGTATAAAATTATCTTGTTGTACAATAAGTACAATTGTGTGGTGATTATTTTTGTGAGCTCTGGATCCTGACTGCCTGGGTTCAAGTTATGGTTCACTCCCTGTGTACCCTCTGGAAAGACTATCTCTTTGTGCCTCAGAATTCTCAACTGGAAAACTAGGAAGGTAATCCATGTGATAATAATAATACATAATAACTTAAGAGCAGTTACCATATGTCCCTGTAAAATAATTAGAACATTAGCTGTTATTATTTTGTGGCTTTTTAGATGAAGGAACTGAGGCTCTGAGGTATTAAATTGCCCCACATTCTAGGGAACCATCCATGGCTCTTGAGTTGGGAGAATTTGTCAATGCCTTAAAAGAATAGTGAGCCACATTTTATGAAGAGTATCAGGTAACTTTTGTGGGAACAATTGGAATGAGACAGGCTGCACAACAGACTGTTGGTTGCCAGTCCTGTTCAGATATCTTCTTTGTCCCCAGGTGTAGCTACTTTCTGTAAGGACAGCGCTACCCCAGTGGCTGCTGAAGAAGGCCTGAGTGGCTTGTTTGCCACCCAGAATCCGGATGTGGGTTGTTATGGAAACACGGATGAGTTCACACAAGAGGAGCTCCGAGCTCTGGATAGTGAGGGCCGGGCCGTCCTTACACAGCACAAGATCCGGTAATAGCCCATATCCCCCTGCCACTGAGCATTGCTGGTTCTAGTCTTTATGTGGAGAGCTCACTTTATAAGCATGCATTCATTATAGAAAAGTTCCCAAACTTGCCTTTTCTGGACTCTAGTTGTGACTGGGCTGCTCATTATGTGACCCTGGCAAATTATGTACCATTATGAGCCTTGAGTTCTCACAGTGGGGGACTGGCCTGGAAATCCAGCCCTTTTACTACTACAGGCACCCCAAAAACAACATAGCCAATACCAAACCCACGTTGCTCGCTTTCTGGGTATCCTGTTTTAATGAACGATAGCATTGTCACCTGGTTTACTTGGTTGGCATCCTACATGCCCCTTTCCTTGACTCACCTGTAGTCAGTCCCCAAGTCCTCTGAGTTCAGTGTTTTTCTAATCCTTTTCTTCTATCCTGTGGATAACCATTAAGTAGAAGCCATGTGGTGTGGTGGGGGAAGCCTTGAAACTGACCCTTTTTGAGGTTTTCTCGTCTCCCCAGCACTTGGAAAGGAAAAGAGAGGACCTTGACCCTTATCAACGTGTACTGCCCCCACGCAGACCCTGGGAAGCCTGAGCGGCTGACCTTTAAGATGCGCTTCTATCGTTTGCTGCAGATCCGAGCAGAAGCCCTCTTGGCAGCTGGCAGGTACTGGAAATCTGGGCAGCAAGGCTTCTTTGAGTTTGTCCTGGGTGCCCAACCTTGTGTCATGCTCCATTGGAAGGTATATACAGTCTTTCTGTTCCTTCAAAGCCTAGTTGCAGACATCACTATGCCCACCTGAATAAGCCTTGCTCTCTTAAGAGCTGTGTGTACAAGGTAAAGGGACACAAACACGAGCTTTATATTTTTAAAAAAAATATTTTGTAGTTGTTGATGGACCTTTATTGTATTCATTTATTTATATGTGGTGCTGAGAATCGAACCCAGTGCCTCACACATCAAGGCAAGTGCTCTCCCATTGAGCCACAACCCCAGCCCATGAGTTTTATATTCTAAACACATATCCTTGCTCCTCCTATGAATACCAAGGCTATCCCTACCTCTCCCCATTTGTCAAATGAGTGTATGAAAGCCCACTTCACAGAATAGTTTTAAGGATGAAATGAGATGAGGGTGGTAATAGTGCCTGGAAGCAAATGAAAGTCTTGTTCCTGGGAAGGACAGGAAAGTGAAGGTGGGTTAGTGTAATCAAGGGGTGCTTCCTAGAGGAAGTGTTACCTGAGTTGAGTTTTGAAGTACAACAAAGATGGCATTAGGTAGACATGATTGAGGTGCTCATGTCAAACAGCACTGTCACCTTTGGAGCACAGAATTTGGTTGGTCAGCTGTAGAGGAATTCAGGTTGTGGCATGGTGTCAGAGGTAGATAGCTTGGCCTATCTGAGCCCTTAGGCTTAGGAAAAAAAATATGGTTCAGGACAACTGCTCCCCTTTTCTTGAATGCCCACTTGACAACCCCACCTTGTGTTTTTCAGCCATGTGATCATTTTGGGTGACCTGAATACAGCCCACCGCCGCATTGACCACTGTGATGCAGTCAACCTGGTAAGAGTCCCTCTAGTCTCTGGCCCTCTTCCTGACTGTGATTCTATTCACTCAGCCAGCCAATGCTGAGTTCTTGGCCCTAGGGGCAGCTTCTTTTGTGAAATACTCTTCTTCTGTGTTTTTAATTGGCACTTAATTATACACATTTATATGATATGCTCATACATATATACAAAATATAATGACCAAATCAGGATTATTAGCATATCTATCACCACAAAGTTTTGTTTCTTTGTGTTGGGACCATTCAAATCCTTTCTACTACCTAGTTTTAAATACATAATAAATAGTTGCTAACTATAGTCACTCCACTATACTACAGAACCCTAGAATATTATCCTTCTATCAAACTGTGAGCTTATTAAGTAGCCCTTTGCTTTCCCTTTCTCCCCTTCCCTTTTCAGACTCTGGCAACCAGTTGATTATGAGATCAACATTTTTAGCTTCCACATGAAATCATTTGTCTCTCTGTGCTTGGCTTATCTTTATGATGTCTTTCAGTTCCATCCCATTTGCTGCAAATGATAGAATTTCACTCTTTTATGGCTAAATAGTATTCCATTTTATATGTGTAGTATGGTTTCTTTCTTTTTTTATACTGGAGATTGAGCTATATCCCCAGCCCAATTTTTATTTAGAAACAGGTTCTCACTAATTTGCTGAGGCTGGCTTTGAACTTGCAATCCTCCTGCCTCAGCCTCCTGAGTTGCTGGGATTATAGGTGTGTACCACAATGCCTGGCACTGTGTGTGTGTTTTTTTTTTAATTTATCCATCAATAGACACCTAGATTGATTTCATTTCTTGGCTATCATGAATAATGCTTCAATGAACTTGGGAGTACAGATGTGTCTTTGACATACTGATTTCATTTCCTTTGGATATATACGTAGAAGTAGGAGTACTCAGTCATGGCTGTTTGGTTTTAAACTTTTTAAAAAAATATTTTTATTGCAGATGGACACAATATTCTTTATTTTTTATTTGTTTATTTTTATGTGGTGCTGAGGATTGAACCCAGGGCCTCACTCATGTGAGGCAAGTGCTCTACCACTGAGCTATAACCCCAGCCCCTGATTTTAAACTTTTTGAGGGAACTCCATACTGTTTTCCACAGTGGCTGTACTAATGTACATTGGTACCAACAGTGTATGAGACTTTGTCTTTCTCTTCATTCTCACCAGCATCTATTATTTTTTGTCCTTTTGATCATAGCCATTCTAACTGGAGTAAGATGGTATCTCATTGTGGTTTTGATTCACATTTCCCTGATACTTAGTGATATTGATTATTTTCCATATACTTATTGACCATTTGTATGTCTTCTTTTGAGAAATGTTTGTTCGGGTTATTTGCCAATTTTTGAATCAGATTTTTTGTTTGTTTTTTGTTGTCGAGTTTTTGAAGTTCCTTATACATTCTAAATATTAGTCTCATGTTAGTTGAATAGTGTGCAATTATTTCTTCCCATTCTGGAGGTTGTCTCTTTATTCTCTTTATTCTGTTTATTGTTTCATTTCCTGGGTAGAAGCTTTTTTGTTTGATATAGTCCTGTTGAAATCTGATTCTAAAAGTACTGAGGATTGTTCCTTCATTTGACAGACATTACTGACCCTGCCCTTGTCTGGTCCTGCACTATGTGCTGGGAACTTAGTTGTGAGTCATATCCAGCTCTTGGCTTCTCAGTGTTTTGATGGGCTGTAGACAAGTGGCCAGCCAATTTGTGGAGTGATATTCTCAAGGCTCAGGCAGAGATGGCAGCTCAGGAGGCTAGGGGAACCCAGAGATGGGATTCCTGGGTGAGCTTGGACATTAGGACAGGCTGCTATAAGTAGCTGGATCTTAACAGATAAGAATGGAGTTTTGGGGTAAGGAGAGAAAACCATTCCAATGTGGGCAAAGGTTTCAAATTGAGAAGGTGCTTGGTGTACATGGAGACCTGCAAGTCCTATTCTTGTGAGAGTTTATGTGAAGTGAGGTGCAAGTGGGGCCACCCTTTTAGGGCCTTGACTCTCCCATTGTCTTCATATCATTTTCCTAATGCATTGTCTTTCCTCCTTATGAACCTTCAATACCAGTTATCTATCTCTGTAATGCAGAGAAAACATTAAGAACAGGCATTCAGGCACCTTCTGATCTATGCCCTATCTTCATTTCCATACTCATTTTCCATTCACACTCTGTCTACTCCAGACAGATGTCTCTTTCCTTTGCAAAAACTGTTATCATTCTGGCTTTTCTTACTATGCCCCAAATTGGTGGTCATACCTTCCCTTCTAGCTTTTTTCTTACATGACCCTCTCATTTCTAATTCTAGGCCAGTGGTTCATAATCCCTGGCTGCATAGTTGGACAAAAATATCAATGCATTAACACCACTCTAGAACAATGAAATCAGAATTTCTTAGGTATGGGCCCAGATAGTGGTATGCTTTAAAAGCCCCCGGGGTGACTTTATTATGCTGCCAGGCTTGAATGTATAAGCCACTTCTTGTCTTGGCCTTCTTCATGTACAGTGTTTCTTTGTTGGACAAACTGCCTGTTTTTCTTGTGTTCTCACACCACAACAATCAGCACAGAAGATTTCAGTAACCTTAAAACATATGGGAGTGGGGGAAAGAGTGTGGGGATTTTTCCCTACCAGTAAGCAAGCAAGCATTTCTGCAACAGTGGGCACCAGGTGGGTGTACTCTATTCCAGTTCAATTCCAGTACTATCTACCTGGAGATAGTCTCAAATCCTACATGTTGAGGGAGAGTCCACAAGACTGCCCTGCTTCAGAACCAGTCATAGGTCTGGGCCTCCAGAACTCCTGACTAACTGGCTATAAATTGAAATTCTCCCAACACCCTCCTTAAATTCCATTAATTTGCTAGAGCAGCTCATAGATCTCAGGCAAACACTATACTTACATTTACTGGTTTACTATAAAAGATATTTTAAAGCTTACAAGTAAGCAGTATGATGATGAAATATATGGGGTGTGTTTTGGAAGAGTCCCAGGAACTTCCATTCTTGTGGACTTAATAGTATGCCATTCTCTTAGCATGTGGATAAGTTCCTATTCACCTTCCTGCAAGCTTCCACATGTTCAACTGTCTAGAAGCTTTCTGAACCCTGTCCTTTTGGGGTTTTATGAAGACTTCATTGCATAGGCATGATTGCTAAAAGATAGGGTGGGGAAACTCAACAAAGCCTTGACATTCAGATTCTTAGCATTCCTTCCTTTCTGGTTCAGGCAGGACCCCTCTGGCATGAGGGTCTTATGGCCTATTATTATACAAAGACAGGTCACAGAATTCCTTAATGGCTAGCTGAAGGCTAAGAAGATCAGTTTCTATGACCTACCTTGGGGAAGAGAAATTCTACTTTCTGTTGACATCTTTAGAAGTGAGTTAATGAGCCAGGACCCAGAGGTGAAAACCAAAATATATGTATCATGATATCACAGAGGTCATCAGTGCTGGTACAGTTACTCATCCCTGTACTTGGCTCAGAAAGGGGCTCTAGGAAAATCTCTTATTAGTTTGCAGGAGAGAAACACAAACGTGGATATGGCTCTCAGCTGGGAAAATGAGCAGAACTGAAGTAATGAGAGAATGGTGGTGGTGGTGGTGGTATGGTGGGTACAGGGGTAAACATTACGGAGTACAAGGCTTCAGTTCCTCCCTGCTTTGTTTTTCAACAGTAATTTACTTAGTCAGTTCTTTCAACTTCCTGTGATAGTATTGTATACCTTTATGCCTTCTCAACTTATTTCAGGGCTATCCTAGATGTTTCTAGTGCACTTCCTTCTTTCTTTCTTCCAAGAAAAGAGAACTACCAGCTCAGACGACAAAGGCAGTATTCAAAATGGCAGAACATGTCTGCTTTCCAGCAGAATGGTTCTTCTAATCTTCTTGTCTCTAAATGGCACTATTATCCTATTGGAAACTATGCTCTTACTGTCCTTCTTTACCTTCTTTCCTACATTCAGTTGGTGAGTTAGTACTATTGATTCTACCTCCAAATCATCTCAATTTATTTTTTCTGCCTCCTTTAGCACCACCTTGGTCCAAGTGACTATTATCTCTAGCTTGCATGGACTATGGTGGCTGTCTTCTACTGGTGTCCCCCATCTGATCTTCCCTTCACAGGCCCATCATAGAGGCTGCTCTCAGAACTTGGAGCCCTCTCTGCCTAGGTTATTTCGACTTGGTTTTCACATCTCAGCTCCAGGTCATTTACCAAAAGGAAGCCTCCTTCATCCCCAGGACTAGATCTACTTTTGTCCTAGCTTCATGCCTGAGACAAAATAAGTATTCTGTGAACATTGTTGTATTGAATGTGTGAGTGGGTAGATTAGATAGATGAATGGATAGATCAGGGATCAGAGCCAAAGGAAGTAGTCAGACATGGATCTCTATGGACTCTGACTTCAGGAGGAAGGGATGGTCAGTGAGAGTTTTGACCCACACAAGATAAACCAAATAGTGCCAGAGGGTTTAAAGGAAAAGCCAACATTCTTTAACTCCTAATCTCTGCCCCACTACTCCCTAGAGGCAACTATTTTTCCTATTTTCCATTCTTTCAAAAAGCATTTCTGGGAATTGTTTAGATTAAGAAAACAACAGACTTTCAGATTTGACATTTATGGACCAGTGCAAGGTAAGTGTACCATGGTATGGGGGGAAATCAGAAAATTAGAAAACAAATCCCAACTCTACCAGTTCTCAAGTGTGTGACCTTGAGCAGTAGTCTTTTTTTGGAACAACCAGATTTTCCATTTCTGGGTATCTAGGAATGCTTTGAAGAGGACCCAGGACGCAAATGGATGGACGGCTTACTCAGTAACCTGGGGTGCCAGGCTGGATCCCATGGAGGGCCCTTCATTGATAGCTACCGCTATTTCCAACCAAAGCAGGAGAGGGCCTTCACCTGCTGGTCCGTGGTTAGTGGTGCCCGACATCTCAACTATGGTTCTAGGCTTGACTATGTGCTGGGGGATAGGACCCTGGTAATAGATACCTTCCAGAACTCCTTCCTGCTACCTGAGGTGATGGGCTCTGACCACTGCCCTGTGGGTGCCACCTTGAATGTGTCCTCTGTGCCTGCAAAACAGTGCCCTCCTCTGTGCACCCGCTTTCTCCCTGAGTTTGCAGGTACCCAGCTCAAGATTCTCCGCTTCCTAGTTCCTCGTGAACAAGAACCTGTGTTGGAAAAGTCAGCGCTGCGGCTCAGCAATCAAACACAGGTACAGAAGCAGCAAAACAAAGTCCGTGTGCGCTCAACCAGGCCTCGGCCAAGTCAGGCTAATTCCAGAAGAGGCCAGACAAACCTGATGAACTACTTCCAGCCCTCCTCCAGCCATTCCAAAACTTCTCCTGAATTGGAGCTGCTTAGCTTGCCTCTGGTGAACAACCTCACAACCCCAAAGACACTAGAAGAGGAGGTGATAGCCAGAGAGGTAGAAGGGCAGGCCAAGCACTCAGAGAGTAAGGAAGAAAAGGAGTTACGGACCTCATTCTGGAAGTCTGTGCTTGGGGGACCTTCACCCATGCCCCCCTGCAGTGGCCACAGGGAACCATGTGTGATGCGAACTGTAAAAAAGCCAGGACCCAACCTGGGCCGCCACTTTTACATGTGTGCCAGGCCCCGGGGTCCTCCCAGTGACCCTTCCTCCCGCTGCAACTTCTTTCTCTGGAGCAAGCCCAGTTGAACCCATGGAGACCTAGGGATATCTGGCATGATCACCCATTCTATGCTGCCTTCTTCCCTAAGGCCTCCTTGCTTCCCTTCCTTCTCTTCTTTTTTTTTGGGGGGGGGGGGTGGTGTTCCAGGGATTGAACTCAGGAGCACTCAACTACTGAGCCACATCCCCAGCCCTATTTTGTATTTTATTTAAAGACAGGGTCTCACTGATTGCTTAGTACCTCACTTTTGCTGAGGCTAGCTTTGAATTTGTGATTCTCCTGCCTCAGCCTCCTGAGCCACTGGGATTACAGGCAGGCACCACCATGCCAGGCCTCCTCTTTCTTCTTTGTCTTCCTTCTCATTCTTTTCCTCCCCCAAGGTGTCCCTCCCTCTACCTCAACTTCCTCTTCCTCCTCCAAGGTCTCTCTCCCTCTGTCTTCCTGCCTACGTCCTTGTTTGTGAGCTTCTTGTGCCTTAGTGCTGTGACCCAGTCACTCACCCCACTTCCTACCTTCCTGTCAGAAGTTCATGAGAACCAGCTGCCCTAGAAAGTTGTGATTTAAAAACCTCTTCTTTTCTTGCGGGGAAATATGTTCAAAATAAAGTCTGTTTTTTAAAAAATTCAGTGTACTACATTGAGTGAAAATTTTGGATGTGCTCAGAAAGTTGAGTTAAAGAAGCCATCTCAGAACTGGGTTTGCCAGATGCTTGTAGCCTAATATAATGGAAGTGGGGAGGAAGAAGAGCAATGCTGGGCTGTAGTGGTTCCCTGCACTGCTGAAAGCAGTTCTGGGGAACTATTCTTTCATTCTAGGCAGTTTAGTGAGGATCTACCATCTCCTAGCTTTATAGGGCCCCAGATTTCAGGCCTACAAGTGAAGAGTCAATCCCTGGATTTTTGCTGAAACCATTGGAAAAACCATTTTATATGAGGCATTTCTTTCCTCTTTCCACATCTGGGTTTCCTTGTCAGTGAAGTGGGGTGGTCAGAATAACAAGTGATATTTGGTTTCATTTTGGGTCTGGCACTTGTCCAGGGTTTTCCAGAATAGTGTATTTGTCTGCTGTCTGTCCAACAGAGGGTGAAAATGCTGCAATTTGCTCTTTATTTTCAGATTCAAGTAAGCTAGAGGCATATAACAAAGCAGAGGTCAAGAGGAGGTCCCGCCCCAAATGAAGTACAGGTGGCATGGGCATCCAATGGAACTGGCTTCTTAAGCATAGGTGGTGACATATTGGGGCCCCATGTTCCCGAAATAGGAACGTTCCCATTCACTCATGAGCTCAAAGTGCACAGGACGGTGACAGAAGTTGCAGGCAGCCACAGACACATCCTGGAGGGGCAGCCCCACTTCAGTCCAGGCTACCATCATTTTCTCTGAAGGTGATAAAGAGGAGAAGGAAAGAATTGGTTAGACTTGGTCTTCCAAATCCTGTGTCAGTACAGATACACCATGATATTGATCCCCTCAGCCTTTTGAGGTTCTTCAGGGATAGAAGTAGCTTAATCTGTTTGCTCCAGTGTGAGCTGTGATGTTACCATTTGGGGGCTGGGCTGTATAAATAGAAGATTTGGAAAGCACTCCTTTGATACAATTTGAAATCATTCTGTCTTGGCCTGGACAACTCCATAAGTGCAGGATATGTGTGGACTGAGAAGTGGATCTATTTGTTTTGGAAACTCTAGTGTGGTGAAGAGGATGACAGAGTACCCCCATTATGTCATCAGTCCAGGGAGGCTGGGGCACAGTGTATGGGGCATTACTAGGAGCAATGGGAACCTAGAGAAGGAAATCTGACCTAGCTATCAGAAGTATCTTAGGGTGTACCAGGGCTTTGTCCTTAACCTTTATTATGCTCAAACCTTTGATAATCTTGTCTAGTCTCAGCTATAAACACCAACTCTGTGTGGATGATTCTGAAATTTTCCTGTCCAGCCCAGAACTCTTTCTTGTTTTCTAGACTTGTGTATCCAGTAGGAGTAGTATTCTGCATCTCCATATGGACATCAAACAGGTATATCTGATTTCATATGGGTACAACTGAGCTACTAATGATCCTACTTTCCAACAAACTAGTTCTGCTTTCAGCCTTTCTCATCTCAATTGATGGCAATTCCTGTTGCTCAGTCCAAAAATTTCAGAGTGATCCTTTATTTTTTTTCCTCTCATCCCACATTCACTCTGCCAGCAAATACCATTGGCTGTACCTTCAAAATCCAACCACTTCTCATCACCTCCATTGCTATTATCAAGTTTGAACTACCATCATTTCTAACATGGGATATTACAGTAACCCCTTACTGGTCTCCCTGCTTTCACTCTTTCTCCTTTCTGTGTATTCTCAACATAGAAGTCGGAGCAATTCTGTTAAAATTTTGAGTCAAGCCAGGCACAATGGTGCAGGTCTGCAATCCTAGCAGCTTAGAAGACTTTGGCAGAAGGATCACAAGTTCAAAGCCACACTAAGCAAATTAGCAAGACCCTGTATCAAATATTTTTTTAAAAAAAGGGATAGGGATGTGGTTCAGTGGTTAAGCACCCCTGAGATCAATCCCTGGTACCTAATAATAATAATAATAATAACAACAACAATAATAATGATGGTGATGATGTTTGAGTCAGATATGTCTATCCTCTGCTCAGATCCTTCCAAAAGATCTTGGAGTAAAAATTGCAATCCTTCCAATGCCCTACAGTACCCTGCACAATCTGGCCTCTTGTTGCCTCTATATGCTCAGTATTTTTCCTACTTGCTTACAACACAACATCCCCAATCATCTTATTATTGTTCCTGAAATATAAAAAGAATACTCCTCTGTTAGGGTCTTCCCTGCCTTATATCCTTCTCTCTGCCTGGGATACCCTTCCCTTATATATCTGCCCAGTTAACTACTTTAACTTCTTCAAGTCTTTGCTCATGTGTTACCTCAATGACCTCTGTACTTGCCACTCTAATACCTTTTTCTAATGTTTTCTTAACTATCCTCTTCTACTAGAATATAAACTCCAGGAGGGTAAAGATTTTGTGTTGGTTTGTTTACTAGTGGATCCCCGACACTTAGAACAGTGTTGGCCTACAATAAGTACTTGATAAATATTAGTTGAAAGAATAAATGAAAGGATGCCTGAGTTAAAACTAGAAGGTGAAAGGATGTAATACAGAAGAAGGGGTGAAGAAGGGCATTCCAATCAGAAGAGGCATTAACAAAGTCTCAGAGGTAAGAGAACAACAAAATGAGGGAACCAAAAGTGATTTGGAATAGCCAGAGGAAAATGCATGTAGGGAAGAAGACAGAGCATAAATATCACTGTGTGAATGGCATTACATATCATTCCAAGGAGCTTCAACTCTTCTATAGACCAGGGGTCTATAAACTTTGGACTCAACATACCTAATCAGTACAGATGATTAAGTATGTATCTCCAATCTCTGTATATTTATTTGTGAGATATATATATATATATATATATATATCTTATTGTGAGCCTGCATATTGAAATCAGTAAGGGTAAAGCTTAATTTTCTATTTTTTAAAATTAGTTGTAGTTGAACACAATGTCTTTATTTCATTTATTTATTTTTATGTAGTGCTGAGGCTCTAACCCATCTCCTCACATGTGCTAGGTGAGCGCTCTACCACTGAGCCACAACCCCAGTCCCTTAATTTCCTATTTTTAAGATAAGAATAATCATAAAAATGCTGTATTCAATTCCCTTGCCCTGTATATCTTCTTGAATATCTTACTGTAGAGGCCACTGCTCCAGAGTCTACATAATAGGGAAAAAGATGTTTAAGCAAGGGAGCAATATTGTCCGATTTTTAGAAAAATCCCTATAGTGGTCAGTATGGAGAAAGAATTAAAGTGGAACAAGAGAGAAATGGAAATTAAGAAGAAATTATGTTGTAATAGATTAAAGAAGTGGCAGTGGATAAAGGAAAATGGATTTGAGAGAGATTATAAAGATTTGCAGTTTGAAGATGATTTGCCTGTGAGATTGTGGTATTTGTGGACTCATGGTGGATGTGTCTCATGTACCTTTCCTGCAAAATCCCAGCCTAAGTAAACATTGAGAGACCTGAAAGTTCTAGAATTGATTCACAGACCAATATAGAACACTGAAGAGAAGTTCCGAGAGTCTGCGTTATTAGCTTAGAGAGACAGTAGACCCACTGGTTATGACCATGAAGATAGAAACAGCCCCCCCACACACACACACACAAATCCCAACATACTACTTACATGACTTTAGACTAGTAACTATATTTTTGTCTCAATTTCCACATAGACACAATGAAAATGAATAGAAATGGAAACTCTCTACCTCATGAAGGTTTTGTGAGAATTAAATGGGTTAATACATGTAAAGTGTTTAGAACAGTGCTTGTCACATGGTAAGTACTTAGTAAAAGCCAGAATTATTTAATGTTTTTGAGCGAATGAGTAACGGTACCTATATATCTTGTTTTCCTTGAACTCTTATAGATTTCCAGTGTTCCAGACAGTGACTGTTATCAGTCAGGCTCTCTGCTTTCCTATCTCTAAGTTATTTCTCCTGGAATTTCCTTATTCTCGAATATCCTGCATCATATCTGCATGTACTTCAATATGGACCACAAAGACTTCCTCCCCCACAAAGCCTTTCCAGTGTCACCCTTCCCACCTTCTCTAGCCATAAATGAGCTCTCCATCCAGCTCCCGGAACACTAGAACTCACCACACTGAACAAGTACTCTCTTTGTCTGACTCCTCTTCTAGACCAGCAACTGTCTACATATCTTTTATCCTGAAGACCTGGAATGAACATGTGCTTTATGCCAGGCCCTGTGTTAAAAACTATCCCCAACAGAAGTCCAGTAAACTTTAAGTGAATTGACTAAATTGGCATCTTTTTGCCATAATGACTCAGCTCTCTAAGCCTCCCAGTCAAGTCCTTGTCTTGTGCTGTTGTTATAGACCCATAGATTGACTCTTTCTTCCCCAACTCTATTCCTACTACCCACATTCCAGTAATACCTGCTAATTGTTTTTGATATATCTCAAGATACTTATCACCCTCCTGCCTTTCTTTGTGCTCTTTCATCTTTAGGAACACCTCCCTCTTCTACACCTTTTTTATTTCTCTTGGCCCAAT